AAACTGAACAGCAAATGATGATGATGGTGATGATAAGGATAAGAAAAATCAACGAGTATTTTCTGTTATTACTTTTCTTTTCTTTTTATTGTGATTTGGGTGAAGATTTGCAGAGCAAATTCACTTTCCATACAGCAGTTCACACATACTTTGTCTCATGTCATTGACCACAGTTTACCACAATGCAGCAGCTCCCCTCCCACTTCCTCCCCATAGTTACCTCTTCCCTGTGTCCATCCCTCCATACACTTCTGCCCCCTGAGCTGTCTCCCTGTGCATAAGCTGCCCTTCTTTCTCCCATGATTGTTCTCTCCAAGGAGTGTATCTACTTGAGGTAAATGTTTAACTCATATGCCTGTATGTTGTTTGGCTGAAAACCACAGGTGTGGGTTCAATTCCAGACCTGAAGGGCAGCTAGGGGCCATAGTCTCAGTGGTTCCACCAGGCTCCATTGGACCAGCAAACCTGGTCCCCACCTTTTTTTTTTTTCTCCAAATGATTTTGAGTTTTGTTCCACATTGTTCTCCCTCTCTATCAAGGGTCTCCTACATAGATCCTCTTCCAAGTGGATGACAGTGGTAGCCGGGCACCATCTAGTTCTTCTGGTCTCATAGTTGTATAGGCTGCAGATCAGATGGTGTACCAGTTGCTAGGACTGATTGTTTCCATTAATTTTGGTTTTCTTCATTCTTCTTTGCTCTGGATGAGGAGAGACCCATCGTTACATCTAGATGGCAGCTTGCTAGCTTTTAAGATCCCAGTTGCTACTCGCCAAAGTAGGAGGTGGAAAAATGTTTTGTATAGTATGTTATGCCAGTTGAGTTTGATGTCCCCTGTGACTATGGTCCCAAGCCCTCAGGTTCAACTACTTGGTCCCTCTGGGTAGCTGGCTGTGACTACGCAGTGACCACAACCTTGTCCCTTGTCAGCTCTACTATACACCTGGGAATTCTGATCATTCACATAAACTTATAGGACCATTGTCTGCCAACCCTATATATGTTCTTGGATACATTCCCCATTTCATAGACATAACTAATCGTTTAGCCTGTCCACCCATCTATCCATCCATATACCCATGTTTGCCTTCACTGACAATGCAGTACTGTATGTACAAACGGGTTCATATTTGTTGTCTCTACCTCCCATGTACCTCTCTATGTCTTTCTCATCCTCAATGCTTCCATATTTGTCACTCACATTCGATACATTGCCCTTCTCTTCACCCAAATCAATACTTATCTCTATCTATCTAACAGCCTTCCCTCCCCTCCCTTCCCACCCCTGGTAACCGACAAAGAAAATTTCCTTCTATAGATAAACCTTTCCTTAACTTTTACAATAACAAACTAATACGATATTTGTCCTTTTGTGATTGACTTATTTCACTCAGCATAATGTCCTCCAAGTTCATCCACATTATGCGGTGTTTTGCAGATTCTACATTATTCTTTAGTGTTGCATAGTATTCCATTGTGTGTATGTACCATAGTTTGGTTATCCATTCCTCAGTTGATGGACACCTAGGTTGTTTCCATCTTTTGGCTATTATAAATAGTGCTGCGATGAACATGGGTGTGTATATGTCTGTTTTTGCATGGCTCTCACTTCTTTAGGGTATATACCTGGTAATGGAATGGCTGGGTCAATGTTATTACTTTTCTTGTGAATGGGTGACATTATCTTATAGGGCAACATGCCATGAGCAATAAGCATCTAAAGGATAGACTTAGAGCCTCTGCTCACCATGTGTGTCTGTATTTAAAACTCTTTAGAAAGGAAGGGGGGATTTGTATCCTCTCATGTGAGACATGGTTCTGAGTTGAGAACTCTATGTTCATCCTGCTTCTGCCAAAGGTGTGGCAAAAGCAGACCTCTAACTTCACAAGGGGGAGGAGAATCAGTCACCATTGGTATCAGCCCAAGGCTGATTCCTATGAGGAGCAGGTCAAACATGCTTCCGCCCTCCCATCTTTTTCCCAATTTTGACACCAGCTGCCCCTCCCATGGCACTCTCTACTTGCTGGGTTCAGTGATTTGTTGTAATGGCCACAGAAAACACATAGATCCCGCTCACACTTATGTAGTTTATTAGGAAAATAACAGGTTACAATTCATCATCAGGAACGGCTCAGGATACAGTTCTTCAATCAGGACAGTTCTTCTCAGCCATGCCACAGGCAGGCCTCTTTCTCAGTCCTTCAGCCCAATGGCCTCTCTGCGTAGCCTCTACCTGACTTAGGTCAGTGTTACAGCTTTTAAGATCCACTAACAAGTTTCTGGAGAAACCCCACTCCACCAGTCAGCCTCCTGCCCAAACATGCTCAGTCCCTTCACTCTGTGGTCAGCACATCACTATAGCCACTTGTTCCATGAGCTGGGTATCCCACTGCACCATGTTGCGCAGGTCTCCTGGTTCTGCTGCCATTGCTTCTCACCATCTCAAACAATCTCTGCTGTTGCAGCTTTCTGTCTCCTGGGTCTAGGAGGTTCTTAGTGCAGGGACGTTGGGTTGAAAGGATACATTCTGCTCCTGGCCCACCTTCTGATAGTAGGGTAGTCTCATTTCCCTTTCTGCGATTGGTTCCCTTTGAGCCTCATGGTATGGCAAAACTGACCAATCCCCTTATTAGGGTTCCATACACCTTATTTGCCTGGTCTCACCCCCATAAGGATTCCATGCACTTTATTTGCATCATTAGCAGGCTTTCCATTCCCCTTGGTGGGCCACAACACCTTATTTGCATAGTGCCACCCAATCATTTTATGGGAGTCACAAGACTATGCATGCCTAGAAGGGCCATATTAAGTTATTCACTGCACCACACCTACATTACCATTTATATAAATGCCTGTCACCTATGCATACATCTTAACTCTTTTTCATATTAATGTGAAAAACAGACCCCAGATGCCGTAGCATGTTTAGTTATTAATGACAGCAGAATCTGTGTGTTTTGGCTGACTGTTTGGGACCATGGTTGATGTCTTGCTGTATGTAGTCACTGCTGCAATGATATGATCACTACATTGTGCAGATGTGAGTGTAGGGTAGGAGTACCAAATGAATATATGTAGGAGAGTAGGGAAGGAAAATAATAAAATTGGAAAAATAGGATTTGAAGTGTAGAATATATCTTAGCCGTCACCTAGCTCAAATTCCTTACTTTGGGCACAATCAATATAATGCAGAGCAGCTGGTGGGTCTGAATTGCTGAGCTTCTGGTTAGCAGCCAAATGCCTTATCCACTACACCACCAGAACTCCTTAACAGAGAAAACTAGGAATAAGGAAATAATGAGCTCTGAATCATTGGCATCTGGGATTATTTAGTCAGAGAGAAGTAAAAAAAAAAAAAAAAAACACCAAACCTGTTGCCACTGAGTGAATTCCAACTCAGTAACCAATAGAACAGAATTTTCTGATTTATTAGTTGGATGTGTGAGGGGGAAAAAAAAAAAGTCAAAGATGACTCCAAAGTTTTTGACCCTAAGTAGATAGAAAAATGGAGTTGTTACCAAGTGAGATGGATGAGGAAGAATGCAGATGGAGTAGGCTGTTTGAGGGTAAGTCAGAAAGAATGAGATAGGAAGAACAAGAGTGTAATTATGGACATGTAGAGTGTGTGATGTAATGTGGCTGTTGGAAATACAAAGATCAGGGGAAGGTCATTCACACATGGTATAGATGTTTATGTAGACACAAAACTATAGGTATAAGAATTCTATGAATATTTAAAGATTTTTTGTCTTAATTTAAAAATGAATATTTTGAATTATTTGGATGATCACAGTGTACCAGGGTAAAACAAACAAACAAACAAACTCACTGTCATTGAGTCTTTTTCCGACTCATAACAACCCCCATTGGGTTTCCAAGGCTGTAAATCTTTATGGAAGTAGATCGCCCTGTCTTCCTTTTGCGGAGCAGCTGGTGTACCAGGTGTTGTTGTTGTTGTTATGTGCCATCTCATAGCCACCCCTCCTTGGGTTTCCCAGGCAGTATCACTAGAGAAGTAGATTGCCCAATCTTCCTTCTGAGGAGTGGCTGGTGGGTTTGGACTGCTAGGCTTCTGGTTAGCAGTCAAGTGCCTTAGGCACTACTCTACCAGAGCTCCTGGGTATACCAGGTAGTGTCCTACAATTTCAATAAGAAGTTTGTGATCAGCTGTTAACCTAAAGGTCCTGTTTGAATGCACACAGCGGCTCCACAGAAGAAAGTCCTGATGAATTGCTTCCTAGAAGATTACAACCAAGAAAACCCTGTGAAGCAGATCTACACACGGGGTCAACATGGGCTGAAATTGACTAGATGACAATAGGTTTTTTCTTTCTTTCTATTTTTTTTTCAAATGTGAATATAATTGTGTGATAGCAAGTGGAGGCCAAATAAGATGATGGTGCATGGTATAAATAAAGGTTTTACAGTAATAGGAATAAAGAAAAGCGGCAGAAAAGTTGAGCGTCATATGTTAGGTGATAGTATATGCATGCCAAACTCAGAAGAAGTGGTTATAGCTCTGAGTCATATTATAAGCCAATTTATGTTGCCCATCCTTTATAATAACAAAATGTGATGGTTTATTAATGGGAAAGGAGTATAAATAGATAGTGAAGAATTTTGTACTCAATCACTTAGTGCTAGATGTTGTGCTTGGTGCTGGAGATATAAATTGAAAAGATGAATCAAATCTCTGGTCCTTCCTGTTTGGCAGGGGCCTCTGAAAGGGCTCAGGAAAAACCACAAGAGGGTGCTCCTTCCTTTAGATGTGGGTTATTTCCACCTTCACACGCTCATTGACCCTCCTTCTCTGTGTATGTTATGTTACCTCCACAGGTCGGGAGTTGCTGCAGAGTAAAACGTGATCTTCCCAAAGAAGCAAGGATTCTGTAGAAGATTCTACCCCAGAATCTAGAATCTGAAACTAGAGCAGCAAGCCTATCAGCTTTGGTGTGTTTGAGGGGACAAAGGCTGTTTTCTTCCCTATAACTCAACCAGCCATGCTCTCTGCTTTTTGCTCAGTGCTTGTGCTAGTCCTGCTACTAATTATCAGTAAGTAATGCTTCATTTTTAAGTTCTTTTTTTTTATTATTCCTAGAGCTGGGTGATAATATCTAGTTCCCTTTTCCCACCGGAGACTGTCTTCTGTTCATATATTCCAAAATAACAAAATCTTCAATTTTTTTATTTTTAGGAGGGACTAATGGAGACTCAGTGACCCAGGCAGAAGGCACAGTTACCCTCCTGGAGGGGGCATCTCTGACTCTGAACTGCACTTACCAGACTGTTTATTCAGCTGTCCTTTACTGGTATGTTCAGTACCAAAACAGCGCACTTGAGGTCCTCCTGAAAAGCTCATCTGAAAGCCAGGAGATGGACAAGAGAGGTTTTCAGGCCAATCATGTTAAAAGCAATAGCTCCTTCCACTTGAAGAAGCTCTCCGTTCAAATATCAGACTCAGCTGTGTACTACTGTGTCCTGGCAGACACAGTGAGAGGAACCACAGGGGGAGCTGCACACAAACCCTGAGACAGGAGGGCCTGAGGGTGGTCAGCCCTGGGAGGGAAAATTACGGCTTCTCTTAGGTGGCATTCTGGGCTGAGGACAACTAGAGAAAAGAGAACAAATTCCAGCTCTGGTACTTCGGAATTTAGGAGTCCTGTTGTTATTCCGAGCTAGGAATGAGAGAATTTAAGTTCCAGTCTCCAGAAATGTTCCTGTTTGCACTCATCATGGCATTTTTTCCCCCTTAGTTTAAGAAATATTCCATGACAAACATTTAAGGAAGGTGTCTTGTTCTTCTAAGTGAATCTATGGATTTGGTCTCTGCTGAAATATTTCCATCTCTAAATACTGGAAAACTGCAGGATCTCATCATTTTTAGTGCATTTATCTTTTAGGCTAAATGAGATCTTTGGAATCTGTTCCATTAATTTCTACATGTGTCTCCAGTTCTGATGGATATTGGTCTCTTTACAAGTCCCTGTTGTAAAAACTCCATTCTCAGCCCCTGGGCTCTTCATTTCTCTCTCCAGGTCTTCTTTTCTTTGTTGTTGTTGTTAGGTACCCTCGAGTCAGTTCCAACTCATAGTGAAACACTGAACAGTCATGCACCATCCTCACAATTGTTGTTATACTTGAGTCCATCATTGCAGCCACTGTGTCAATTCATCTTGTTGAGGGTCTTCTTTTTCACTGACCCTCCACTTTACCAAGCGTGATATTCTTTTCCAGGAAATGGTCCTTTCTGACAACATAGGTGAGATGAAGTCTGGCCATTTTTGCTTCCAAGGAGCATTCTAGCTGTGCTTCCAGGACAGATTTGTTCATCCTTCTGGCAGCCCATGGTACTTTCCGTATGCTTTGCCAACACCACAATTCAAAAGCACCAGTTCTTCCATCTTCCTTACTCATGTCCAGCTTTCACATGCATATGAGGCTATGGAAAATACCATGGCTTACGTTAAGGGCACCTTAGTGTTCAAAGTGACACATTCATTCTTCAAAGTTTTAAAGTGGTCTTTTGCAGCAGATTTCTCCACTGCAAAGCAACATTGATTTCTTGACTACTGCTTCCATGGGCGTTGATTGTGGACCTAAGTAAAATGAACTCTCTGACAACTTCAATCTTTCCTCCATTATCATGATGCTACTTACTGGTCCAGTTGTGAGGATTTTTGTTTTCTTTATTTTGAAAACTATAGTCTTTAATCTTTGTAAGTGCCTCAAGTCATCTTCACTTTCAGCAAGGAAGGTTGTGTCATCTGCATATCGCAGGTTGTTAATGAGTCTCCCTCCATTCCTGATGCTGGGTCCTTCATGTAGTCCAGCTTCTTGAATTATTTGCTCAGCATAAAGAATGAATAAGTATGGTGAAATGATACAACCCTGAGGTACATTCTTTCCAATTTTAAACTATACAGAATCCCCTTTTTCTGTAGCTGCTCAAAAATACTGTTGCAACAGAAGGTCTTTCAGGAGATTATCCATTTGAAGTCCCTTTCCTGTCCCCTTATTGGTACAGCCAGTGATGAAAAACCTCTCAGACCTACAGATTGGGAAAAAATATTTGGTAATAACATATCTGACAAGGGACTTATCTCCAGAATTTATAGAACACTCCAACACCTCAATAACAAAAAGA